GTGATCAGTTCCAAAGAGGTGTTTGAAAGCTCGAGAACACTTCGGTACAGTAAAAACACACCTAACGTCTTTGAAGACCAAGTTCCCTGCTGAACAGTATTACAGGTTTGTAAGGGAAGAAGCATATTTTATAATATTAAGTGAAAAAAAGCAGGAGACAAATTACACTTTTCTCGTGCTGAATGACTGCTTCTGCTAGGTTAAACTCCCTCTACTTAGAAACAACAAAAGGAGAAGGAGCTGCTCATAGTGGTGGTGGCAGAATTGTTGATTTTATTTTTTCTCCCTTTTACTTTCAACATTTTCTTAAAGAGCATGTATGAGTTTTGCAATGAAAAAGTAAGAAGAAAGTATCTGTTGTATGAAGGTCAAAATGGAGAATATCTTTTTAGTATATTCAAGTGACTTGTGAAGTTGGATGAACCCTGACTGTGCTATTAAGGTCATGGGATTGAGTGGCTGTCTGTGTGTGTGTGTGTGTGTAGTTAAGTTTTACATAAAACCTTGAATTTTGCTGCCAGCTACCGTATGTAGCTAACGTTTTATGACATCTCAGATCTACAACATTTAATTTTAAGTTACACTGTTATTTTATGTACCATTAGGGAAAAAGTTGTTGTTAATCATCGTTATGAAACACATAGATTGTAAAATGCATCCTGGGAAAAACTGCATCTGAGTGTTGATGAAATATGGTAAATTAGGACCTAAACTTTCTATTTATGTTTGTTTTCACACTAAAAAAAGATGCTCTTTTAAGACAGATTATGGGCAAGAAATACAACATGTATATGGCTAGTATAACCTCACAGGATTCTTTAAAGTTGGGTGGTAATGGACTGTGGCCTTCTGCCTTTTATATTTCTTATAAATGTATTTATATTTTAAAAAGGTTGTTTTTAATAAAAGAAAAACCACCAAAGAGGAATATGTGACAGAGACTGAAAGCAACCCACAAAGCCTAAGCTATTTATGGTCTGGCCCACGACAGGCAGAGCTTGCTGACCCGGCTGCGAGGCAGTGCCCTGAGCACAGCTGGGACAGTAGACCTGGGAGGGGGGGAGGGGGCCTTAGAGACCGTGGCGTCTGTAGGTCGCACAGGCTGCCATCTGGCTGACTTGGCCCTCAGAATGTTGCGTTTGGCCTGGATTGTGGTGGAACCTTTTTTGAATTTGTTGCCACACTTGAAAATCAGGAGGCACAGCACACATACCCAGGGCTTGTGAACCTTGCTGCGTCTTTTCAGGCTTCTGGCTCAGATTAACTGCAGCATCCCAGGGTGTTAAGGTCGTCTGTTCAGTGACTGCAGAGGGTAATTACTGTGTGTGACTCAGGTGTTCTTGAGCCCCCGCCCTCAGCGCGGGCCGCAGCGGTGTGTTAGGTGTTGGGGCTGATGGATGGCTGCAGTTCTCATCTGTCCCCCACCGCCAGCTCTTTCTCCGAGCTGTCTCGTCACTCTTACCGACTGGACTTCGGAGCACAGCTGCTCTCGCCATCCATAATCTTCACTTGTAAATTTTTGTGTTCATCAGAATTGGATCATGCTTCTCATTTGTTAAACTTGTAAGAAGCAATTGTTGCAAATTTACACTGGTAAAATTGATACTAAATCCAGCTCATATATTTAAATATATTGCTCTTACATGTTTTCTGTGTTGCAGTTTCATGTAAGGTTTTAATCTGGAAAAGGATTCCATCTGTAAAATATTTGAGTGTGATGACAGTAACCCTGTCTCTTTAACACCCCCAGCCCCTCGACCTAACTGCGCTTCCGTCCACGCAGATTCCACGAGCACTGGAGGTTTGTGCTGCAGCGCTTGGTCTTCTTGGCCGCGTTTGTCGTGTACTTGGAATCGGAAACACTCGTGACTCGAGAAGCGGTTACAGAAATTCTTGGCAGTAAGTGTCTTCATGAGTGTCGATCTGCAGAACCAGGCATTAGCTTCATTTTTGGACTGGGGGGCTGTTGCTTGTACTTTCTGTTTATTGAAACCAGTGAGAACTAAGTGCAAAACTGGTTACTTGGAAACACAAAAACTAACAATATATAGTGGCTTGGGTATTAGTTTTAGTGGTTAAAATACAATTTTTAAAACTTTCAAGCCTATAGAAAAGTTGAAAGAATAGTGCAGGGAACCCTTGCTCACAGCCCATTAGACACACTACTTGGTAAGATTTGCCATACATGTTTGTCGGGGGTTGTGAATCTTTTGAAAGGCGGTTTCAGATGTCATGACTTCTCCCTTAAATGCCTCAGCACGCCTCTTCTAAAACCAAAGATGGCCTCTGACAACTAGATACCGTTCTTAGTGGTATTCCTTTTTGAGAGAAGAATGCAAGGGAAAACATTTTTGCTAAGCTCAAAAAATCCACAGTGAGGTCTAGTTGCCAAGGGTATGTACACATTAGACTTTTTTTTTTTTGAAAATTCATTCTTTTTTTTTTAACTTTGGGAGAAATTACATGTGTGCATGTATTTGTCTGCATTTATACATATGCATGTGTATATTTTTTTCATTCATTCTTGGGCTTAAGTTGCATTGGCATCATGACCGGATCTTTACGTTGATGTGTTTTTCAGTTGAGTCAGATCGGGAGAAGGGATTTCATCTGGATGTGGAAGATTATCTCTCAGGAGTTCTGATACTTGCTAGTGAACTGGTAAGAAGCTCAGCGACTTGCCGTTTACTGTTTTGATTTCCCCACTTCGTTGTCAGGTTTTTTAAATGGGTGAAAAAATTCAGAAAACCTCATTCTTTTCCAAGCCTTCTGTGGGTCCCCATGTAGTCACTGACTGCACAGTGTGTGTCCACTTTGCTGGGATGCAGTTCAGATGGTGAGGTGACTGCGCAGTTACCTTTGAAAGATGGTAACATTTCTCTTTTTAAAGTCACAGCGAGGGACACATTTCTGGTGACTGTCATTTCACAGAATCGTCTTGGGGAACAATTTAACTGTATAACTGTGTAAATTACTCCTGCCTTTACCCCCTCAACCCCTCCTCAGAGAAACTGTCCTTTAAGAACAGTTCTAGAGAAGAAGAAAAGCTGTTAGGAGGTTCGCACGGCGGCCTCCCTCGCAGTGGTGGACCCTGAGGAGCGCACAGCTCCCCGGAGGGCCGAGCCGGCGGGTCCCCGGGGCC